AAATATCCAAAACTGGAAAAGTAATGTTTATAATTCATCCTAGGGTGCTAATTATCGAATTTATAAAGAAATACTTGAACCAGAAAGATATCTTGTTAATATGCCTCGAAAATTTTCAACTTTGCTATGTAAATTTAGATGTAACAATTTTAAACTCCCCATTGAAACTGGGAGATGGAATGGTCTCCCAAGAGAACAAAGGATTTGTGCTTTATGTGACCTTATTAAGATTGCTGATGAATTTCATTATGTTTTTAATTGCACACGAAAAGAAATTAAAGAGGCTAGGTTAAAATATATTTCAAAATATCTCATATGCAGACCAAATATAGAGAAATTTAAACAACTTTTTTCAACAAAAAACTGTTCAATATTGAAAAAATTATGCAAATTTTTGTTGATTGTTAAACAAATTATAGATGGAAATAATTGATTTGAATCCTAACATGATATTTTGTACCATTTATTATAAATGTATTATATTCTTTTTCTTGTGTTTGTATCTTATCCTACCTCCTCTCTACAATGTATTTTTGTACATTTATGAGAATAAAATCATTGTCATTGTCATTGACGAGACATAATTAGTAATGCTAGTGGGAGAAAGAAAACTCTTATGATGAAAAAGTGTGTTAAAGGATGTTTGTGATGAGTTATAATTACTAATCACAAACTGGAGAAGCGAAAGCCTCGAGATTGTCAAGTCTTATTAAGTGTGTTTTATGTCTTTTATTTGTTTTCAACAACGAGAATTTAAAAACATTAGTAGTTAATGATCATATCTCAGGGATTGATTTTTGATTCTTTTGACTTATAAAAATAAATGTACAAAAAAAATACTTAAATAATGTGACATTTTATGTTTTAATTAAAAAAAAAAAACATAAATTATTAAAAATATATCCGACAAGAAAAAACCGTATACTCTGTCAATGAAAGTGAAAACAGAGCACTTCCATTCTGAACGTTATTATAGCAAATTATATTTTCTATGAAAAATGATTCAAGAAATGTTATTAGAAATTTAATTAAAAATTATAGCTCAAGTGAAATAATTCTTGCATATTCAAACAAGGATTTAGGAATGTTCATGTTATATTCATCAACAAAAAGAAAAAAAAAACATGTCTGTTTTTGGGGGGTTTTTTTTTGTTTGTTTGTTTGTTTGTTTGTTGTTTTTTTTTTTTTGTTTGTTTGTTTGCTGTTGTTGTTGTTGTTGTTGTTTAACGTCCCTCTCGAGAATTTTTCACTCATATGGAGACGCCATCACTTGCCGTTGGAGAGCTGCAAATTTTGACCTATACTCGGCACTTATGGCCATTGAGCAGTGAGGAATCCTTTTCGTGCCAGCACCCACTGTGACACGGAACCTCGGTTTATACGGTCACATCCGAAGGATCGGTCTCCACGTCCCACAGTGGGATTCGAACCCGCGACGTAAGGAGGATTAACTCCTTACTCTGCGACTTTAGAGCAGACGTTCTACCACTGCGCCACTTTTTTGTAAGATAAAATTAACATAAGTTTTGTATTAATATTCTTTTAAAATAGCATGTCAAATAAACTAATTTCAAAGGATAAAAAAAAACTTCTACGTGTACACCATGTAACAAAATAATAGAGAGGTCGGAGTAGTTTTTAAATGTAAGACATTGTTTATATCAGTTTTTGAAATTTCATTCTGATGTAATGTCTTCAAGGTGTGAAGTAGTTGAAAGCCTGTCTCTTATCCCATCTCAATAATCCTTTATTTTCATAGTACTAAATTAGACCTGGATTTATGCAGCCGCTTCTGGAATTTATGCATAGGAGTTTTACATATGATTAAATCTCATTCAATGAGGTAAATAATATTTTTGACTTTTCGTTGATATCCTAAATATTCTGATGACATAGAGGAAAGAAAGTGATATGTATTTGGGACGCCGGAATAAGGAATGGTTGTGAGATAAAGAAGACGCCCAAAATGACAAAGTCTTACTACATCTGTGTTATGGGACACTTATGACATGCCCTCGGTATAACAAAGCCAGTAACCATGGGGGTTATGAAGAACATATTTGTGAGTATAAAACAAAAGGTGTTTGAAGTGATGTACCTGATGAATCATTAGTGTTATCGAGAAAAATAGAGTATCAAGATAAAGGTTTTATAATTGTGCTGTTTTCTTTATATATTTAAAAAAAAAAAACAAATGCTTTAATTATATGTATAGTTTTATGGATATATATTAAAATATGCTTTTTAAATGCTACGTGACATCAGTGAGGCTTCTTTCCCAATCATGGAGCGATTCTCACGTTTGACAAATTATGGAATGCCTGGAAAATTAAATAGCGCGATAAAAGACAAAAAAGTATTTACTTTAAAAAATTTCATTAAGATTTCGGTTACATGAAGTAGGTAAAGGATATCTTAAGGCAGATATCCAAGAGGGGTCAAATTGTAGACAAACCGAAGAGACTTACCTTCTCTATGTTATAATAACGTGGATACGATTTTGAATAAAATGTTTATTCTACGTTGCTTTCTTAATTTCCATATGGAAATCATTGTAAATGTGTGCTAAAGGAATTATTAATGAAGGAAGACAAATAAAAATATACTTGTACCCCTAACTGTATATTCAAAGGCGGAGGGGGGGGATCCACAAGGGTCTGTACTATAAAGGTGAGTTTTTCTGCAATTTTAATTGTGAAAATGTTTAAAGTCTTAAGATCTATTGATTGATTGTATGTTGTTTTACTTCCCATACCAGAATTTTTCATTCATAATAAGAGACGTCACCATATACCGGTAAAGAGATTCAAATTTTGACTTTTACTGGGCACTCAGGGCCATTGAGCAGTGATGGATCTTTATCGTTTCAAGACCTGCCGTGACACGGAGCTTCGATTTTTTAAAGGTCTCATCCGAAAGACCCTTAAAGCCCAAGAAAACCAGTCTTATGATATTCTGAAAATTATACTGATACTGTTGGCATAAATGATAGGCCTTTGGGGATAGTTTTAGGATTTTTGTCCCAAAAATTGTATGCAACATTGTAAAGTTGTCAGAAGCATCAATACATTGCCATGTAATCAATACATTGCAGTCTAATTCGAGTTTGAGAGCTATTTACAAATTTGCTTTGAAGGATATGTCAGCTATTTTTAACATTTTTGATTTGTTACATGACCTGGTTAATCTTGCGACAGTAATTATATTTCTTAAGCGTTGCACATACTTTTCAGAGCGAATATATTGTACTAGAATGGTCTATGGACGAAATGGTCCGGAATCCAGAAAGAATTGAAAATAAATCTACGAGATACAAAGCCACTACTGCATGATATCGCCAAGGCTAAACTGGGAAAAAATAACAATCTCCAAAAACAACGGATGATTTATCATTATGTATGCTTCTTATTAATGTATTGTCCATATTATTATACTTTGTTAAAACTGCCAATCATAAAGTACACTCACATAATTGTTATATTTTGGCAAACGTGCTTATCAAAATGCAGCAGATTGTGTTCCTTCGAATAAGAGTTAACGTACTTCATAATTATTTGGTTCTTTGTAAAACGGTGCCCTTGTCTTTAATTTCTCGTGATGTATAAAGTGTCGAAGAGGCGTACATTTTAATGCTATTGATTTTTGTAAATTTGTAAACTTTTTTAATTTAAATTTTTTCTAAAAATTCCGAGTGTAAGTTCCTGTGTTTGTTTTCTTAGGACACATATCTATTAACACTTCTCGAATATGTTGTTTTACAGGACTCCAGGAGGTCTCCTTTACTGCTGTTAATATTCTTGTGAAAAAAAATAGAGACTAGGTTGAGCATACACAAGATCCTATTATGTGTTTTTGTTGGTAAGTATTTATGATTTTTTTGGAGTTCTGTAATCTAGTATAGGTTTGATAATTAGAAATTAACTTTGTGATAAAATGTATATACATATATATAAAAGAATAAAACTGGGGTGATTTGAAGAATTTTGTCCTTAGAAAGTATTAGTTTGATGACCATTTATAGAATTAAATCAATGTTCCTCTAAAATGTAATTGTAATAATAAGCCTAACAAACAAAAATATGCTGTTTTCTGCTTTATCAGCTTGATCCAGTACATATTAAGAGCCATCCTCTATAATCTCTTGAACTTTTATATAGTAGCTGTGGCACGCATAGTCCTGAAAAACAATGCAATTTTTTTACATGTTCAGAGCCCATATTTATTAAGTAATCTTTCTGCTTTTTATTACGTATGGATTACTAAAAACAGAATGATATATGGTTTTCATTTTATTGAAGACAAGTTTCAATTGCTAATCCACTACCATCTTTAAGGATGTTTCAAAGTAAACAAAAATATTTTAAAATTCATTCATTATAGCCTAATGTGACCAGTAATATATGAAAACTGCCCTTCAACGATATCTGCAAGCGCTAATTTTCGAATCAGTATCAGAAAGAAACGTCACAATCTCCAGAACGCAATAATGTCTCACATGTTTCAAGGAAAAATTTCTCCTAAGAAAAAAAATATAGAAAATCTTCCACCACAAAGGGGATGCCAAAAAGCCTGACTATTAAAATTAGCTATACTTTAATATCTTGACATAACAAATCTTTTTTCTCTAAAAAAAAAAAAAAAAAAAAAAAAAAAAAAAACAACACCACAGATCCAGAAATAAATTTTAAGCTAATAACACCTTAAAAAGGTTCATCTGAAATAAACATGGAGGAAAAACCAAGGAGTTTCAACTGCTTTTGACTTGCTCTCTAAAGTACTATTTCCAGTTTAAGAAGAAAACGAGGAAAAAAAACTCCTTCAAATATGCGTCATTACTAAAAGTTTTGTAATAGCTACTTTTAAATTTATTGTGATATCTTGCGGTTAATTTTGGGGAATTCCCAAACGTCTCTATATATACAGTGTGTCATCTTCTAGGGGCATAGTGATTTCTAGTCCTAGTACTAGCATTTCTAGCATTTCATCTGTACGTTCAAACCATGAAGTTTTTCATTTTCTTTACGATTCTGATTACGATTTCCAAAGCTATATCAGATTCCTTGCTAACCGGTACTTATGATCCCAACTCTACTGTTCTGATAAATGAAAGACGTGACATCAAGGAAATAGACGTTCTTCGACAGATCATCAACCAAGAAACTCTCATCCGCTTAGGTGTAGTCAAAGATGTTAAGTCTTTAATGGAGGATGTGAAGCGAAGAATGGAACCTATTGAAACAATGGTCTCTTCCTTGGAGCAGACGGTAGAAACATTGAAATATCAGGTTAATACTATAACTCAGGAAAATAATAGGAATGCCTTCATCCCTCAGGGGAGACTACAAGAATGGGATCAGATGATTAAAACAATGAATGAAAACATAACCGATATTTATGAATATCTAACCACCGGGAAAGGTAAATATCCCTCTCTCTCTCTCTCTCTCTTAGTATCATTATTTTAATACTAGTATTATCAAGGTCTTTCGTCATCAACTCGTCTTCAAGGGGAAACTAAAGAGTAATTCCACTGTTTCTTTATGTCATTGTTATTATTACTATTATTTATTTATTTATTTATGTGTTTGTTTGTTTATTTATTACTTACCTAGTTAATTATTTTTATCATCATCAGTAGCAGTAGCAGCATTCTTCAATTAGCTTTTATTTAATACAGGTTTAAAGCTACATAGAGATTGCAGGCACCTCTTTCTCAGGGGTTATATACAATCCGGTGTATATAGAATAAATCCCTTCGAAAACGAAAGTCACCTCAGCTTAACTAACGTATACTGTGATATGGTGACTGAAGGAGGAGGGTGGACAGTAAGATCTCTCTCTCTCTCTCTCTCTTAAATTTGTGGAATTAAAGTTTTTTAATGAAATAAAATAAAAAATAAGGTAATCAGGGAAATATGTCTAAAAAGCTTCAAGATTATTTTATTTCTTTTGATATTCGCAGCAATGTTAAGGCTTCCCGAAGCTTTAAAAAGCGCTCAAAACATAATATGTCATTGCGAGGTCGGTTTTAGTTTTTATTTAGAAGTATTGAACTTTAGTACTTCCAATTTATATAAAGGGTTTCCTCGGCTATATATTAGCGTATTTGTTATGATATCACATGACTTTGTTGATCACGTGACGGTCATTTATAATTTTTTGAAGTGTTTCATATAAATCGCTTCGGCGCAGCTGATTAACACAATAATTATAAACATTTTTGTTATATAAATAAACTCATCGTATCCTTATGTATCCGAAATGTGCTTGGGAAAAGTCGTAGTATTACTTGGGTACAAAATATTTCCTGAGAAATTGAACTTACCTACAAATTTGAGGGTATTTTCCACACAATATCGTAATCTGTATTAAAACAAAGCCAACACACACTTTTCCCAAGCAAGATTCAGTTAGAGAACAACCTCTTCTTACAGATTTCCACAAAAATTCTCAGATTAATCCTCATTAATCACCTACGCCAGACTCCTTTATACACACAAAATAAATTTTACCTCCAACCACGGGTATAAAACAGAGTACATTTCAAAAGTATATTTTTCCTAAGCATTTTGCACATGAAGAATTTCAATCAAGGGTAGGTAAGCGGTGTATTTTTAAAATACTCGGACATATAAGACTTAAAAAACCTTTAACGACCCGTGAATTTTGTAATAGCTATTTAGCATTTTACATGCACTCTCCGCGTCATAACACCTCAAGTTTGCAGTGACCTGACGTCATTTTCCATTATGACGTCATATTTTGGTAGTTCGGAGATGTGAAGGCACAGAGTGCACTGTCATATTCTACTGGAAGCCTTAACCTACCTGCGTTTTTAACAAAAAATGAACATTACAACAATATTTGCATTGCTTTTAAAAAAAAATAAAGAATTACAGCGAAGTTTTGTCTTTTTTGAATTAATTGAATTAAAATATTAATAACATTTTTTTTTATTTGAATATATGGTAAAAGGGGCTTGGACATAGATATGTTACTATTTTTTCTGATTTTTAGAACGATATCATCATTTCACACCGAAATGTAATAACAGCCTGTTTAGAATCTTCTATTATCTGGAAATTATTAAAACAGTTACTATAAATTTTGGGACGCATGTGATTGACACATACCTTCTCACTTTGAAGAAGTAAACTTTATCCATAATACTTTTAAAAAGTAGAAATTTTCTTGTATATTAATGTAAAATATTAAAAATATAATCCATGCAGAAAATTCAGAATAGAAATGTGAGAAAGGAAAACCACTAACCAGTATTTTCAGTCCGTGCTCAATGATGTGTGCAGATTAAACACATTGAACACACAGTAAAACGTAAACCTTTAACGGTGATAAATGATAAATAAGAATGAGATGAATGTAATTCATGCATGGTTATCCCTAGGCGATCCAAAAACGGAGGAGCGGAGTAGTGGACTTTAACAAGACATGGGTAGAGTACAAAACAGGGTTTGGGAACGTGGAAGACTCTTATTGGATAGGTATTTATCTATATTTGTCTATATTTATTTTAAGGAATGTTTATTTTCTTAGTAATTACAAATTCTTAATACATATTTTTGTATAAATTCAGTTATCGCAGTTATATCTGATCGTTCGAACCCCCCCCCCCCCCCCCACTATCGCTTACGAGTATTGTGTTAAAAGTAACTATCTACAGATATATGAAATGTTGTTGAATCTCAAATGTGTCATGAGGAAGCCAATACGTCTATGAGACTGAACAAAAGGATACATTTCTGTACAGAGTCACTCTCATACCTTATTGGTGTTTGTTTTGCCAGGAACAATTACAGTTAACAACTAAAGGATTTTATTGTCTGTGCAAGTCTGATGCCTTCGCTGTTTCCTTGTTTACTGTATATGCCACTAAAAAAGAATAATTGCCATAGACGTGAAGACATCAATATATCTCTTAATTTTCGAAGCGAAATATAGTATAAGCATATTGCTTCTTTCTGTAAATATGGATGGCATTCCGTAGATTTATCCGCTATATTGCATTTGGAATTTTGTTCATTCACTGCAAACTATTTCACGGTAAAAGAGAATGTAGCTAATTGTGTTCCCTTGTCCAATGAGAGTCATTTTAGTCAGAGGTAAAACAAATATAATAATGAAAAAAGATGTAGATAACGAACAGAGATCCTACATTTTAGAACTGTTCCTCTTTGGTCAGTGAACTTCTGAAAAAAGGTGACCATAATTAAACTTTTAAATAATTTTTTCAATATTTTTTTTTCAAAATTAAAAAAAAGGATCGGAAGGCCATATAGCCAATTTCAGATTTTAAAAAAATGATGTGGTATGATCTCGAATACATTTAATCGATGAAATTAAAGACATTTCAGGGCTAATCTTGTTTATCTACCTTTAAGGGAAGGGAAGAGGCTATGCAAACGCGCAAATAATCAATGATAGGAATCGGTTTTTCTTTTAAATACATCGGGATCGTATTACTCGTCATCTTGACGCTTAATAATTAACGTCAAATTTGACGTCTTGTTAGATTTAAGTTTAATTGAAATAGCAGGGGTTTACACCCCCACTGTGTTGTACGTCTTTGATATTCTCGTACAATAATATTTTTAAGGAAATGACGTGATTCACAAGTTAACCAAGGGAAAGAACTCATCCCTTTTGTTCCTAATATATTCCTACAATGATATTTTGAAGGAAATGACTTGATTCACCAACTTACCAAGGGAAGGAATTCATCCCTCTACGTCTCCATCAAATTACGGAATGGTGCAGATTTATATGAAATATATGATCAGTTTTCCATCTCTGATGAAGCAGACAACTACAAACTCTTTCTTGGAGGGCCAGCTAAAGGAGCCTTAGGTAATTTACAGGTAGAAAGTGTGAATGTAATTAATGTGCAGAGAGAGAGAGAGAGAGAGAGAGATAATTTGTAAAAATGAGACATAATATTTCTTGAAAAGAGTTTTGTGAATTTTAATCCGATGTCCTGTCTACCAAAAGCAGTTTATTTAGCATCTTTGTCTAAAACTTAAGCTAACTAATTACTAAATAAAAGCAATGTATTTCAACAGATTTTCTTTTGTTCCCCTCAGTTTAAACAACTTATAACGATTTTTAAAAACTAATATATTACGTCTTTAAAAAATAGTATTATGTTTTTTCTTCATATTTTCACCCCTTTGCAATTTTCCGAATAGCTAATATAATTTATTACATACTTTGTAAGAAATACAGGTTTTTTGTATATGCGGTATGCCTGATGGCAAAGTAGCTCTACCAACACCTATGCATTACGGATCCGTAATGCATGCCTCTGCCATGTATTAGAATCTAATACACCTATTGCTGAACCCATTCTATTTCCTTCGGAACATTTTTTGTTATTTTTTCCATCTGAGCATATTACACAAGTTTTTAACTAACAAACTTCAAGCAAATCGATATACTCAACAACAAAAAAAGAAACAATTTTTTACTAATCAAAGAAATTTTGAAACAGTACATGGAACAAGTAACTTTCTTATCAATGGATACCTGTGACATATTTAAAGAACAACATAAGCTTTTAAAACCCAAGTGTCGAATTGTTTCTCTTGATAATTCATGTTTATGAAAAGAGTGTTTTGCACGATTTCTTGTAAATCTGGGGTCTATTGTCATTGATATTTTGGATTTAGGAAAAAAAAACTATAAACACTCCTATTGAACCATATTTTAAAGATTTTATTGCCTGTTTGATGCTGCAATGCCACGCCTAAACAGATGAACGCAACCGGGCTGTAACGATGTTACTAGCCGGAGCTACGCAAGAGGAAGCTGCAACTGCAATCGACTGTGCAGTGGTTTAACGTACGTCTCCAACAGCTAGTAAGCAAGGATGACAGACCAAGAACTGGCCGTCCGCTGGTTACCACTCCCAGGCAGGACCGTCAGATCCGCCTTAAGCATCTGTGCAATCGATTCAGAACTGCTGTAAAAACTACTGCTGCAATTGCTGGACGAGGAAATCAGCGTATAAGTGCCCAAGCTGTTCGTAACAGACTGCGAGGAGCTGAAATTCATGCACGACGTCCGTACATTGGAAATCCAATAACGCAAAGATGTCGCCAGGGACAAATGTATTGGTTAAGACGGCATGACCCTAGAATTTGTAGGCGACGACAATGGCATCAAGTTCTCTTCACAGATGAGCTGAAATTCAACTTGTATAGAGCTGATGGTCGTCCAAATGTGTATCGCCGGAAGAATGAGCGTTTTGCAGACTGTTGTGTAATTGAAAGAGATCGCTTTGGTGGTGGAAACGTTATGGTGTTGGGAGGTATTACTTTCGGAAGGCGAACACCTCACCACGTAATTCATGGCAATATGAATGCACTAAAATATCGCGATGAAATCCTTGCTCCTTAGGTTGTTCCATCAGCACAATCTGACTCTGCAACAGGACAACGCAAAGCAGCATATGGCAAGGGTGTGCTCGATTTCTCCTCAGACGAACAACGTAGATGTTCTTCCATGGCAGCGTTCTCACCAGACCTTAATCCAATAGAACATCTATAGGATAAGCTGGATAAACGAGTTTGACGCCGTCCCAATCCACCAGACATCATCCAGGATCTAGAGCAGGCCTTGTTGCAGAAATGGAACAATATCCCTCAGGTTACCATCAACTAGCTTATTAACTCTAAGACACGGCGTGCTCAGGCTGCAATTGATGCAAACGGAAAACATACGCGATATTAAAACTCACTGTAATACAGTCATAAAGTTCTTACCTTGTATGGACCAAGAGAAACTGTGGTATTATTCTTAAATGTGCTTAGACACAGATTTGAAGTTAATATTTTCTCAAAATTTCTGTATAATATAACGACTTATGTATTGCAATAGCATTTCACACGAAAATATAATTAAAAACTTATTTTATCTGGAAATTATTGGAACTACGAATTCCTGGACGCGTTTGTTTAACACATCCTTGCACTTTCACAAATTTTATTTTTATCCTTAATATTTAAGAAAAGAAGCGATTTTGTTTTGTTTTAATGAAACACATTACATCTATAATCCAGAAAATTCAGAGTAGAAATGTGCGAAAGCAAACCCCCTCACTAATTTCGTCAGCCCGTGCTCAGTGTTGTGTACAGAGTTTAACAAATTGAATACACCCGTGAAACGTAAACTGTTTCTGTAAACAGGGCACGAGCTCTGTTATTGTTAATGTTTACGATTCACCGGGTGAGTTCAATTGTTAAAGTCTGCACACACCACTGAGCACGGACTGACAATACTGTGAGAGGGTTTTGCTTTCGAACATTTCTACTCTGAATTTTCTGGATTATAGTTTTAATACTTTTCATTTATACACAACAAAACTGCCACTTTTCTTAAGTATTAAGAATAAAATTAAAAATTGTGAAAGTGCAAGGATGTGTCAATCAAACGCGTCCAGAAATTTGAAGTTTCAATAACTTCGAGATGAAATAAGATTTTTATTATATTTTAGTATGAAATGCTATAGCAACATATAAGTCATGAAATTATACAGAAAATCTGAGAAAATATTAACTTCAAATCTGTGTCCAAGCACCATTAACTTTTCAATACAGCAATATGAGAAATCTTTGATTTTTATCACAAGACGCTTTACTAATGAAAATTAAAATAAGATAAAAAAAAAAAAAATAAATTAAATAAGTAAACTGAAAAATTAAATTATCATGTTCAATCTGAATGATTATAATTTTTTTTTTTTTTTGGGGGGGGGGGGGGTCTTTTTTTTTTTTTTTTGTTCTTCTTTTTGTTTTGAGTATATATGGAATTTCCTATGATTTTATTCCCATAACTTGATAATTAATTTTACTTCTATGTTCCTACGTAAAATATACATTGGAAATGAATAAATTTCAATTCACAATTTGACTTTGATCAAAGAGTGATAAGATATGTTAAATTATGGTTAAACTTCCTTTTGTTGAGAAAACATTATTGTATGAAATTTCGTTAAGAGTGGTTTACAAAAATAAATCAAACAGTTCCTAAATTGTTTATACTACTTGTATGTTATTACCAAGAATTTGAATTAAAAAAAAGCATGCTTTATTCTGTATACGTCAGAAATTGTAACTAGCTAACCATGCATTGCTTGAGAATAAAGATTGATATTGTGATGATGACATTCGATATTCAACCAAGATTTTATTTTGTGTGAGAGATCAACCATTTCCTTTTATTTTTTAATTAAGCAGTTTATTTTTTTTTAATGTGTAACATTCTTAATAAAGCATTAAACCATTTCTTTTAATTAAATTTGACCATTATTTAAATGTCATTGAGTTCATTATTTTCAAAGCCAGATATTGATGAAATATGTGGACATATGTATATATTGTAAAAAGATATGCAATATTGAAAAGGATAAATGTTTGTATGCAGATCAT